AAAAAAATGTGCAAATTGATAAAGTTAAGGGACCAAAATGAGCATTTAACCTTTTGGTAATTTTTATCGTTTTCTAACCTATACATAGGTTTTCTAACTTTTATGGAAATGAAAATGATGGGTGTATAATTTGTTTTAACATATTTCATAATATATTTATTAAAAAATTATTATTTTTAAATTTAAATTTAAGATAAAAAATTTTATTTTTAAATTTAATAACTGAACTAATAAACATTAATAAATGTATTGAACTGAAAGATATATCAATAATCTTCTTTTATGAAAAGGATATGAAAAATTATAGAAAAATAAAAATTCTTTGTAGTCTCATCGAAGGGGTTTAGCAAAGATTAACAAAATACTCATTTTAAAAATGAATTAATTTTTGATATATTTGAAAGAAAGAGAGATACATTAAGGGTCCGAACTAAGTTAGTACCTAATAATATAAAACTTTAATTTGAGGTTAAGGTAACAGATCAAATTTCTATAATACCAAATAATTAACTACCAATAAAAAGAAGAAGAGATAAAAAAAGAGAGATGACATAGTTTTGGTGTTACTTTACATGACAAGTTTTTAGATTATAAAAAGTGTTATACAATTTAAATTATGGTATATTATATAATTTAAATTATAGATAAAAATGAACTCTTATTAGTGAGAGTTGTTCCTCTATCATTTTTTTTTTTTATAGGTAGATAGATGATGGGTTATATAATAGAGGAGAACTCTCCCTTCTCAAATCCCTCTCTACCCATTTCTCCATCTAATAATTCACCTTTTGTAGGTGAGTACAATTTGAATTCAGTGAAATGCAAAACAAGTTGTATTAGAAAAATAAATAATGATACATAGAACTAAAATATAAAATTAATAATGTGATCTATGTTATGTCATTTAAAATGATTTATTATATTTATTTTCTTTAAATCCGTGATATTATATATATCAATTAATTTAATGATATAACATAAGTTATATTATTGGTCTCAAATTATTATTCTAAATTTTCATCTTTCTTATCATTACTCTAAAAATATATTTTGACCAAAGAAAATGAGGTTCGCAACAACATCAGCGATTCTTTTTTGCGTCAAGTGGCACGAGAAAAAGGATAAAGTGAGAAATGTAAAACAATAAGGTGCCAACAAAAAGAAGACAGGTAACCTAACTTAGTTGCCAATTGACCATGGTGCATTAAAAAATAACTGCTTATAAAATCTTTTGTTAAGACCCCTTCTGCCGAAGGTTATTGCTGACCACATATGGAAGAAAAGCACCTCTCCTATGACATGAAGTGACGAAGAGGTAACCCAATGAGTTTTGGTTTAGCTGGTAAAGAGATTTGTTTTTTAACTTCTTGATTAATATTTGACTATCTAGAAAGTTGATAAAAAATTAATTTTTTATAAATTTCTTAGTTTGAATATAAATGACTCATTTTTAATCAGATTAAAGAGGTATTAGTCTTAAAATACTTGTAAGATGACTTGAAAACACTTTGACTAGTAAACAAATAAAAAAAAAATGTAATGAAGAGGCATAAAACATGAACTAAATGAACCACAAAATAATTGAAGAAATTTCACTTAACCTACTTATGATTTAGGGTGAATGTATTTAAAAACTTGTGGCATCAAAATGTGCACTTAAAGATCTATGTTTTAAAATAAGAGTAGCAAGACATTCTTGTCGTTAAAAACCTAACGGAAAACTTTACTTTTTATCTTAATTGTTCTAATGCCCTTCCTACCTAACACCATTGTCTTGCCCACACTAAAAGTTAAATTGTAGTTCGTTTGACTCATTAAAACCACTTACAGTCTCATCATTGCATGGCAACTCCATATCATTACCATCCATTTGCCAAAATATACTAAAAAAATGATAATAATTAATTCATTCATTCATTTTAACTAACCACATTTAAATCATTTGCATAATTCAATTGGAAAAAAAAAAATTTGCACGTATATAAAATATCCATAATTAGCTTGTACTGTTGAAACTAATTAAATTTAAATATGCATAAAATCAAGAATACATTATTTATAATTGCAGATGACAAGGTAAAACCTTTCAATTTTGAAATGAAATCCTCACTTTTTAAATCTTGAACAAGCAACAAAATTTCCAACCAAACACAAAAAAGTTGATAAAAGAAAATTAGAAACAAAGTTTCACTTTCGAATATAAACTACAATAGATTAAAATATTTTATTCAATTACTTGCAGAGAGTTATTTTATTTGGTTTTCATCTTCACTTGAGTTGATCTTTGAAGATTGTTATGGAAGAGAGTCTGCGTGATGGTTGAGCTTTTTCTCTCTTTTTTTTACTTTTTAGGTCAAGGGGATTTAAGATATCATACATGATTTTAACATCATTTAGATGGCAAGAGTGGTTTAGTTCTCAAGGTTCAAAATAGGCCTTTGAATACATATTTCGATACTACAAGTCTTTAAATGCATTCATTTTAAATTACAAAGTAGATTATGTGTAATTTCTCTTACATAATTCTCAAAAAAAACCAATCACATTAGCCCATCGAAGTAACAAAAAAAGGGCTGCTCCTTTTTGGGCCCAATGAAGGGCTGGTCTTAAAACCAAGCCCACCCAACCCAAGTAAAAACCAAAAAAGAATTTTTTTTTTTTTCCTTTGTCCCATACAATGTGACTATGCAGGTTGCTTCTCTTCACCTGTTTCGAAATCCTACTGCATGTTGGCTTCTTGTTGAAGTTACCCTCTTCGCTTGCTTAATTCTCCATTAATGGCGAGTTTTCGTTTTCATTCCGAAATCAGCGATTCATTCCGTAACTGAATAACACAGCCTAACAAGAAACTTAAAAGTTGAATCCTTTGGCTGAAATGGGGATGGATCAAAATAAAACCTTTATGATTCTCCCTCTTCTATTCTCTCTGCTCTGTGTTTCAATGGTGATCTCAGATCCTACTGCAGAAAGCTTCCTCCAATGCCTCTCCAGTCATTCTGTACCTTCCCCACCAATCTCTTCCGTCACCTACTTCCCCAGCAACCCTTCATACGATTCCATTTTACAGTCGTACATTAGAAACCTCAGATTCGCATCCCCTTCAACCCCAAAACCCCTGTTCATTGTTACTCCGTCCCATGTGTCTCACATTCAGACAACGATCATATGCTGCAAAACCCATGGTCTAGAAATGAGAATTCGCAGCGGGGGCCATGATTATGATGGCCTTTCTTATGTGTCGGCTGCCCCTTTTGTTATCCTCGACATGTTCGATTTTAGGTCTGTGAGAATCGATATGGAAGATGAAAGCACATGGGTTGAGTCAGGTGCTACACTAGGGGAAGTTTTTTTATAGAATTGCAGAAAAGAGCAAGGTCCATGGCTTCCCAGCTGGGGTTTGTCCAACTGTTGGGGTTGGTGGGCATTTCAGTGGAGGTGGGTATGGCAACATGATGAGGAAATATGGGTTGTCTACTGATAATATCTTGGATGCTGTTATGGTTGATGCTGAAGGGAGGATTTTGGATAGAGAATCAATGGGGGAAGATCTGCTCTGGGCCATTAGAGGAGGCGGTGGCGCTAGCTTTGGGGTAATTGTTTCATGGAAAATCAATCTAGTCCCTGTCCGGATGTTGTCACCGTTTTCAGAGTTGAAAAGACATTAGAACAAGGTGCTACTGATATACTCCATCAATGGCAATATGTTGCTGATAAAATTCATGAAGGTTTGTTCATCAGAGTTGTTGTTCTTCCGCAGATCAGAAAGGGGCACGAGACAATCAAAGCTAAATTCATAGCATTGTTTCTGGGGAATGCTAAAGAACTTCTTGACATAACGGGAGAAAATTTTCCTGAACTGGGTTTATCCCCGGAGGATTGCATTGAAATGAGCTGGATTGAATCAGTCTTGTTCTGGTCTAATTACCCAAAAGGAACACCATTTGAAGTCTTGCTTGATCGACAACCCCAGCAGGAAAAATACTTGAAGAAGAAATCAGACTACGTGCAAGAACCAATTTCAAAGACTGATCTTGAAGGCATATGGAAGAAGATGATTGAACTTGAAAGACCAGCAATGACATTGAATCCTTATGGTGGAAAAACGACTGAGATTTCTACTTCTGCATCTCCCTTTCCTCACAGAGCAGGAAACTTGTACAAAATTCAGTATTCAGTGACCTGGAAAGAGGAAAGTACCGAGGCTTCCAATCTGAATTTAGATCGAATCAGGAAGATTTATGATTTTATGACACCTTGTGTATCCAAGTCACCAAGGAGTTCATATCTGAATTATAGAGATCTTGACTTGGGAAGGAATGAAATTGGCAATGCAAGCTACTCACAGGCCAGCGTGTGGGGCAACAAGTATTTCACGGACAATTTTGACAGGCTGGTGCAAGTGAAGAGTATGGTAGATCCAGGCAATTTCTTTAGATATGAACAGAGCATTCCTTCTCTGACATCCTGGGAGGGTAAAATGGCAGAGTAGAGTTCCCTTCCGGTGTCTATACTATAGCCCTGTCCTTATGTATATATGTATTATATAAAACGATTTATTCACAATATAATTCTTATTGGCCCTTTTAATTTTAGTGAGAAGCGTGAATTGATGTATATTATAATTAAATTATTAAATGAAAAAAAATTGTATCACAGGGCATTATAATATGCAATCCAACAAGCATATAGCGAACAATACATAAAGAACGCAGAGGATTTTTTTTTTTTTT